TACACCGCTTCAGACAAAAGGTTATCCAACATCTTCTTTAAAACTTCCAAGGAGCATTCACAACTTCTGCAGGCAAGTTGTTCCATTGATTCATTGTTCTAACTGTCAGGAATTTTCTCCTTACTTCTAAGTTGCTTCTCTCCTTGATTAGTTTCCACCCGTTGCTTCTTGTTCTACTCTTGGGTGCTTCGGAGAATAGCTTGACTCCCTCTTCTTTGGGGCAGCCCCTGCTCCTTTTCCTTTCCTTAATTCCCTATTTTTTTTCTTTATATTTTATATAATTAAACAAATATATATATATATATTTAAAAAATGGTTGCTTGGCATCGAACATGTATTTACGATGGTTGTGGCATCCCAGGGTCATGCAATGGCCTTTGCACCCTTCCCAGCCGACTTCAAGCAAAGTGATTGAAGGAAGCCAGATTCGCTTAAAGACTGCTTAAAAGTTGAGGGTGAAAAAAGGCTGCAGAATAGGGCACCCAACTCACTTAGCCCCACTGTCTCACTTAACGATGGAAATTCTCGTCTCTGTTTTTGGTCGTGACTGCCTGCGAACTCTTTCGCTGAGTAACTCCGTAGTGCCGAATTGTACGGAAGTTTAAAAAGGTAAAGGTTCCCCTCACACATATGTGCTAGTCGTTCCCGACTCTAGGGGGCGGTGCTCATCTCCGTTTCAAAGCCAAGGAGCCAGCGCTGTCCAAAGACGTCTCCGTGGTCATGTGGCTGGCATGACTCAACGCCAAAGGCGCACGGAACGCTGTTCCCTTCCCACCAAAGGGGGTCCCTATTTTTCTACTTGCATTTTTTACCTGCTTTCGAACTGCTAGGTTGGCAGAAGCTGGGACAAGTCACGGGAGCTCACTCCATTACGCGGCGCTAGGGATTCGAACCGCCGAACTGCCGACCTTTCGATCGACAAGCTCAGCGTCTTAGCCACTGAGCCACCACGTCCCCTGTACAGAAGTTTACATAATGTAAATTTACAGAAGGGCAACTCCCTCGAGGACTTGACTTTCCTGGTTCAAGGTTATGAATAATTTCTGTCCTTCAGGAATGTCGTTCTCTCCAATGACTGGTTGGGTGGCAAGTTCTGCTTGCAAATTTCCAGGACATGTTGGCTGGTGCTAGGGAAACCAGGATGCCTCCCTAAGACAGACCAGGTTTCTGTGGTCCTTTCAGTGGCAGGATCTCTCATGGTGGACCAGGTTGCTTCCCAGTTCCCTGAAGTATTGCAAAACTGCCTGAGCTTGTGAGATTTCGATGCTCACACCTTGACTTCAGAAATCTCACCAAACCTCGAGGCTTGTGAAACATTTGACATTAAACATTAAAAAAGATGCTGAGACTCTAGAAAGAGTGCAGAGAAGAGCAACCAGGAGGATGAGGGGACTGGAGGCTCAAACATACGATGGACGGTTGCAGGAACTGAGTTATGTCTAGTCTAGTGAAGAGAAGGACCGGGGGAGACAGGAGAGCATCTTCCGATATTTGAGGGGCTGCTACAGAAAGGAGGAAGGGGGTCCAGCTATTATCCAAGGCACCCGAATGGGTGATAATGGATGGAAGGGATAATGGATGGAAACTGATCAACGAGAGATTAAATCTAGAAATGAGGAGAAATTTCCTGACAGTGAGAACAATCAACGGATGGAACAGAAGTTGCCTTCGGAAGTTGTGGGAGCTTCATCCCTGGAAGCTTTCAAGAAGAGATTGGAATCTGTCAGAAATGGTATCACTTAACGTCCTCAATCAGGGGGAGTAGGGGTTCGAGTTGTTAAGCGAGACCATCACTTCCTAGGCCCTATTTGGACTGCAATGGGGAGGGCCCCATTATGGTCACAACGTAAAGGATTACCTGTAAATGAAGTGCTTAATAGCAGGAACTGCGAGAGGGATCTTGGGAGTCTTAGTGGACAACCAATTAAATAGGAGCTAGCAGCGTGCAGCGGCAGCCAAACAAGCCAATGCGATCCTAAATTTGGAAGTTGTGGGAGCTTCATCACTGGAAGCTTTCAAGAAAAGATTGGGCTGCCCATTTGTCAGAAATGGTGCTTGGGCGGGGGGTTGGACTAGATGACCTACAAGGTCCCTTCCAACTCTCTTAATCTCTATCTGATTCATAAACAAGTCAGAAGCGATTATATGATTAAACGGATGTAGAATTCCAACTAGATAGTACATTTCTACAGAGCTGTTTAATCCCAAATTCCGAGCATTGAGAGAGCCAGTGGTTAGAATGCAGGATTGCAGAGTAATTCTGCTGACTGCCAGCGGTTTGATCCTGACCGGCTCACTCTTCTGTCCTTCCCAGGTTGGTAAAATGAGGACCCAGATTGTTTGGGGCAATAGGTTGACTCTGTAAACTGCTTAGAGAGGGCTGCAAAGATACTGTGAAGCGGTATATAAGCCTAAGTGCTATTGCTATTGTTCCTTTTCTTCCTTCCTTCCTTCCTTCCTTCCTTCCTTCCTTCCTTCCTTCCTTCCTTCCTTTCCTTCTTCTTTCCTTCCTTCCTTCCTTCCCTCCTTCCTTTCCTTCTTCTTTCCTTTCCTCCTTCCTTCCTTCCTTCCTTCCCTCCCTTCTTCCTTCCTTCCCTCCCTTCTTCCTTCCTTCCCTCCTTCCTTCCTTCCTTCCTTCCTTCCTTCCTTCCTTCCTTCCTTCCTTCCTTCCTTCCTTCCTTCCTTCCTTCCTAAAGGTTGACTTAGCCTTCTGTCCTTCCAAGGTGGGTAAAATGAGGACCCAGATTGTTGGGGACAAGAGGCTGACTCTGTAAACCGCTTAGAGAGGGCTGGAAAGCACTGTGAAGTGGTATGTAAATCTAAGTGCTCTTTTGTTATTAACTGTTGGTTCAATGCCAAATTGGGCAAAGGTGCCATAAATTGCCAATCGATCAATAAGCCCGCAAGGATAAACTCAGCTGGCCGGGTTGCCTCCTGCGAGCGGTGTCATGCCTTTCAGACAAAAAGAAGTTTCAAAATCCAGATTCATTTGCAGATCAAATGCAGGGAAGTCCCAAGCAGCTGCCTCTTAGGAGAAACTCAGCTGACGTGAGTAGCCGAAGAGTAACCTCTTGGGCTACTCAACGTCAGCTGAGTTTCTCCTAAGAAAAGCTGAAGTGAGTCATTCGTTCGTGGGAGCTGAAACTGGCAGGGCAAGAAACTCGACAAGTCGGTTGGATTACCACACCTTCCACCCTTTGCTACCTGGAGGAGAAGTTTATTTAGTTCACGAATAACAACGTGTGCATTTGCAAGCCAGTGCACCCCAACCTAAATCCGGACCTTATCTGCAGACTTCAGGAGGGGATTGTCACAATTTTTGGCAGTGCAATTCTTAGGGTTTTGTTGGTATATTAAGGGAAGCGGTGGCTCAGTGGCTAAGACGCTGAGCTTGTTGATCGAAAGGTTGGCAGTTCAGCGGTTCGAATCCCGAGTGCCGCATATAACAGGGTGAGCTCCCGTGACTCGTCCCAGCTTCTGCCAACCTAGCAGTTCGAAAGCAGGTAAAAAATGCAAGTAGAAAAATAGGGACCCCCTTTGGTGGGAAGGGAACAGCGTTCCGTGCGCCTTTGGCGTTGAGTCATGCCGGCCACATGACCACGGAGATGTCTTCGGACAGCGCTGGCTCTTCGGCTTTGAAACGGAGATGAGCACCGCCCCCTAGAGTCGGGAACGACTAGCACATAGGTGCGAGGGGAACCTTTACCTTTATATAAAGGAAAAGTATAAAAATGTGTCTACCCAAGTAACCTTCAATGTACGACCACAAATGAGCCCCCATTGCTACGCGAGACAGTTGTTACGTCAATTCTGTCCAATTTTACGACCTTCCTTGCCGTCAGTTAAGTGAATCCCTGCAGTCGTTAAATTAGTCACATGGTTGTTAAGTGAATCTGGCGTCCCCCATTGACTTTGCTCGTCGGAAGGTCGTAAACGGGGTTCACCTGGCCCGGGGGGGGGCACAGCGACGGTCATAAATGCGAGTCAGTTGCCAAGCGTCTGAATTTTGATGACGTGATCGTGGGCATGCTGCAAAAGTCATAACTGTGAAAAAACTGTCATATGCCATTATAAATTTGAATGGTCACTAAATGGACTGTTGTAAGTCGGGGACTACCAGTATACAGATATTGGGGGAAAGATTCATCAAAGTGAATTTTAGGGCAAGCTTGTTATTTAAAAAGATTATAAAGCTTTTTATTTAAAAAGTTTACAAACTAATCATCATTGATGGTTTGTATTTCTCGCTCTCACCAAACCCCGGCTTAGGTTGTGTGTTTTCGCGGATAGTCAGTTTTGAATGCAGGACAATCTAAGCTAGCAAATACGCACCAACCGGAGGCCATAACATAGTTCAACGTTGTGGACGCTGACTGTTTCGCGAACCCAGCCGTCCGTAGGTTGTAACATAAACCATGATTTATAGTTTGGTGCAATATGTGAATCTACCCAGGGTGTTTTCCTGGATGTCTCTGGGAGTTGTAAGTCAGATTTTCTTGACTTTGGTTTAACGAAGCGATTTCTTTTCGCCACTTGGATTGCAACCCATGACCGTTCGCACAAATCTTCATTTCCTGTTTCTGCTGCGTGTGGTTTGAAACACTGAATCACAGTTTTTGCTGAAAGCTCTTCCTGGAGCTGACCTCTCTCCGTGTGTGTCTGTCTCCTGGGCGAGCCCAGCCTCGCTGGACCAGAAGTGGACGATGGGTTGGCCGCATTGAACTGGTTATTTTTCCAGAGGGAAACAAAGAGCAGGCAGAATCCTCGGCATTCAGCTTGGATTTTACTGCAGAGGGAAAAAAAATTTGGGGTGGGGGAGTCTGGTTGTGACCGTCCGAAGTGTATTTTGGGGAGGTTTGCGTAGGAAGCTGCACACCCCGATTTTGAGTCGGAAGAAGAATCGGAAGCTGCAGGAAAAGGCTCTGGATATTCAAGGATCGCCATGGCAGCTTGTCGAGTCTTAAAGAGAAATTTCTTGATTTTTGGTCTCCTCTCTTTAGGGTCCCTGGTCCTGGGTGAAGCCCCCCTGGAAATGGAAGTCCGTGAGAACGGAGGTAAGTTTCAAACCTGGGGCCGCATCTCCTTTTTTAATCACGAAATAAAACTAAATCAAATGCTACACTAAACCTAGGTCGTCGTTTGTATCTTCTTTAATTTATATAACGACGTATCTATTAATTGAATAATAAATTAAATGAAAATCTTAATTATTTATATTATTATTTAATTATTATCAATATTTTAATTAAATTAATATTTAATCATTTAATAATTTAAATATTTTCATATTTTCATTAATATTTTAATTAAATATTAAAATAATTAATATTCATTATTTAATATTCATTAATATATTTATTTATTTAACTAATTTAAATTAATAATTTTAAATTGATTTTAAATTGGGTTATTTTAATTTACGGCCAATAATATTTAATTATTTTAAATTGCTTTTAAATTTTGTATGTATTGTTTTTTACTCTGGCTGTTCACCGCCCTGAGTCCTATTCTGGAGAAGGGCGGTATAAAAATTTAAATAATAAATAAATAAATAAATAAATTTAAATTTAAATATTTTAATATTTAAATTAATATTTTAATGAAATATTAATACAATTAATATTCATTATTTAATATTCATTAATAAATATATTTACTTATTACTTTAATTTAAATTGAAATATTTAAATTGAAATATTAAAATTAAATATTAAAATAATTAATATTCATTATTTAATATTTATTAATAAATAAATTTATTAATTTAATTTATAATTTACACAAAATAAATTCATATAATTAGGCACCGGAGAGAAATTCCTTGGGTGTCCAATCACACTTGGCCAATAAAGAATGTTCAATTACGTATTCTATTCTAGAACTTTCTTCTGGAGTAGAATGTGTGGGTCCCCCCCCCCAGCTTTTAATTCTAAAGTGTTGCTTTAAACCATTATTTCTCAGCCTTGGCTGTTTGAAGTTGGGTGGAATTCAACTCCCAGAATTCCCCAGGCAGCTTAATTCTGGGAGTTGAAGTCCACCCACCTTCAAACAGCCAAGGTTGAGAACTAATGGTTTAAACAGATCCCTGTGGGTTTACTTTAGAGATAGAGGTAGTCCTCGACTTATGACTTGACCTCAACGGGGCCCAGAATTTCTGTTGTTAAGTGAGACAGTTGTTCAGTGAGTTTTGCCCCGTTTGATCTTTCTTGACACAATTGTTAAGTGAATCACTGCAGTTGATAAAATTAGTAACGTGGTTTGTTAAGTGAATCTTGGCTTCCTCATTGACTTTGCCCGTAAAAAGGGACACTGCAACCGTCGTAAGTACATGTCAGTTGTCGAGCGTCTGAATTTTGATGATCGTAGAGATGCTGCAAAGGTGGTCAGTGTGAAAAATTGACGGTCAGAAGTCACACTTTTCAGTGCCGTTGTAACTTTCAACGGTCACTAAGTCGAGGACTACCTGTGTATAAGGGGAAAGAATAAAACTGTGTCTATATCAAATCAAAAAGTCAAAATCTCCCATAAAAAAAAAACACTTCATATATTTTATCATTACATTAGTTTCATATTTCATACTTCATCTCCATGCTTTATTATCTAGCCACTGATAAAACAAATCCCATATCAAATAGCATTGGGTTTTTTTTTAAAAAAAAAAATTGAGCACCCATCACACAGAACAAAGTCCAGCCAGATGTCATGTTTTCCACCGCAAAAATGAAAAAACCTATGAAAGGGAAAGCTGCCTGTGGTTAAAATGTGTGACTTCCTCGGCCCCAAATCTGCCAAATTATTTTGTGATTCCTCTTTTGAAAATAGACAGACACCCACTTAAGTGGGGAAGGGGTGGAGAAGTGCCTGAATCATGGTCACAGGACTGCAGGGATGCTGCAATGGCCATAAGTGAGGGGGTCCTTGGTGCTTTCTGAGCTTGGCTGTTTTCTTGTAGACGTTTCATGACCCAACTAGGGAACATCATCAGTGGTAGAAGGGAGCGGGTTTTGCAAGGAGGAGGAGGAGGATTGTGGGGTCTTCGGTGCTGTCTGAACTTGGTTGTTTCCTTGCACATTTCGTTATCCAAACCAGGTTAAATTAGGTAATGACGATATCATGGAATGCCTGCAAGAAAACAAGCAAGCTCAGAGAGCACCAAGGACCCCACAGTTCTCCTCCTCCTCCTCCTCCTCTCTACAAACTCCCTCCCTTGTAGCACTGACTATGTTCCCTAGTTGGGTCACGAAACACCTGCAAGAAAACCACCAAGCTCAGAGAGCACCAAGCACCCCACAGTCGTCGTCCTCCTCCTCCTCCTCCTCCTCCTCTCTTCTTCTTCTTCTTCTTCTTCTTCTTCTTCTTCTTCTTCTTCTTCTTCTTCTTCTTCTTCTTCTTCTTCTTCTTCTTCTTCTTCTTCTTCTTCTTCTTCTTCTTCTTCTTCCTGCTCCCCCTCCTCCTCTCTACAAGCCCCCTCCCTTGTAGCACTGATTATGTTCCCTAGTTGGGTCACGAAACGCTTGCAAGAAAACCACCAAGCTCAGAGAGCACCAAGCACCCCACAGTCCAGTCCTGCGCTACTAAATATTCTCCTTTATCGGTATTTGGCACCCAGCCTGCTCCAGAACCCTTTGTGGACCTACAAAGCCCCTGCCTTCCCTCCCGGAGGCCTTTCACCCCTTTCCTGCACCCCCCACCAGCCCCCCCCCTCCCCACCAGTTGGGTGGGGGAGGTGGGATCCTCGCAGGGGTGGAAGAGAGCTGGCAAGCAGGAGAAAATTGCTCTGCACAACACCTGTTGTTACCTGTGCAGCCCAAATCCCCTGCAAGAAAACCACTAAATTAGGAGTTGCTTTCGGTGACTTCAGACTTTGAGTTCTGTTTGCTCCAGGTTGCTCAGTGGAGGTTGGTGCAAAACTCCTGGCTTGGCTTAAGGAGCTACTTAACGTTGACTCACCTGCACCTCTTGGAGCTGGCCGGCAAAAGAGCTGCCACAGCAGATTAACTGCGGTGGAAATCTTGGGTTTTGCAAAGCTTTGTTGACGCACAACCTCCTAGTATTTGGCCAAAGGAAGGGAATAGAATAGGAGCTGGAAGGGACCTTGGAGGTCTTCTAGTCCAGCCCCTTGCTCAAGCAGGAGATCCTATACCTGTGATGGCAAACCTATGGCATGCCTGCCACAGGTGGCACACAGAGCCATATCTGTGGGCACACAAGTGTTGTCCTAGATCAGCTCCTGTGCGCATGTGCCCGCCAGCCCAATAATTTCCAGTCCCACCAGAAGTCAGGAAACGGTCTGTTTTCGCCCTCCCCAGGCTCCAAGAAAGCCCCTGGAGCCTGGGGAGGGCGAAAAATGGGCCCACCGTGCCATCGCATGCCAAAAGTGGGGGGAGGGCGAGGGAGTCATGCACTCATGCATGGGGGGGGCGGGGTGCATTGAATTATGGGTGTGGGCACGTACGCACGCAACCCCTCCCCGCTTTTGGCACGCGATGGCCAAAAAGTTAGCCATCACTGTCCTATCCCGTTTCAGACAAATGGCTGTCCAGTCTCTTCTTGAAAACCTCCACTGATAAGGAAGGAAGGAAAAGAAGGAATGAAGGAACGAAGGAAGGAAGGTAGATTAACAGAGCGGGAAGGGATCTTGGAGATCTTCTAGTCCAGCCCCCCACTCAAGCAGGAGACCCTATCCCATTTCAGACAAATGGCTGTCCAGTTTCTTCTTAAAAACTTCCAATGATAAGGAAAGGAAGGAAGGAAGGAAGGAAGGAAGGAAGGAAGGAAGGAAGGAAGGAAGGGAGAGAGAAAGAAAGAGAGAGAGGGAGGGAGAGACAAGGAAGGAAGGAAGGAAGGAAGGAAGGAAGGAAGGAAGGAAGGAAGGAAGGAAGGAAGATTAACAGAGCTGGAAGGGATCTTGGAGATCTTCTAGTCCAGCCCCCCACTCAAGCAGGAGACCCTATCCCATTTCAGACAAATGGCTGTCCAGTCTCTTCTTAAAAACCTCCAGTGATGGAGTGCCCACGATTTCTGGTGGCGAGCCGTTCCACTGGTTAATTGTCTTCACTGTCTCCTTAATTCTAGGTTGCTTCTCTCTTGGATTAGTTTCCAAAGCTTACTGAATTTAGTTAGTTTCCGAAGCTTAGTTAGTTTAAGAGATCAGAGACTGGTGTCAGGTTTCGAGGTCGTCTCAAATAAATTGCATTTCAAACAAAATCTTTGAAGTAAAACTCCCATTTATTAAGCACGGCATTCTGAGTCTGACTCCAATTGCAGCCAACACTGACTTCCAGACCCAAAACCCTCCCTTTCCGTTCCCCATTCCCCTGCACTCATTGGCCATCTTCCAAGTCACTCTACCCCTAATCTACTGCTCCAGCTCAAAGGAATTTCCCCCCTCCCATCCAAACAGTTTAGTTTCTCGGGAGCTTGGCTTGGGCACAGAAGGAGAATTGTGCAAAATGTTTTCCTGCTCTACCCACCCACCTCTGGCTAACTTATCAATACTTCCTGGTTTTGCATGACACCCTAAACTACAGGTAGCCCTTGTTTAACGATCAGTTGCTTAACAACTCTCTGAATGGATGGTGGACTTACCAAAAGATACTTACAGCCGGCTTCTGGAGTTCTAATGGCTGTAATCTGGATTATTTTGAGTGTTTGGAATATTTTTCCAACCAGCCGCAGATTCCATGGTCCCATAACCGCAGGTTTTTTTTTTGTTGTAAAAAACCCCCATAGGAATACCTAAATTCACTTAATGACCGTCTGAGAAGTTGAACCGAAGAGGCAGGTAGTTTCATGGTAGCTTATGGCAGCCAGTTCAAGAATCAAAAGTGAGACCAATCGAAAAATCACCTCTTGCTTCCAGTTTTAGAGAAGGGAGAAAGGCGTTTATGAAATTGAAGAAATTTTAGATTCTAGAAAGCATCGGGGAAAGTTACAATATCGAGTTAACAACCGCTACCAAACAAGCTGTAAAACTGAGTCTGGTAAGATAAGTGCCTCAACTTATACCCATCATGATTTACACTGCAAATTCAAGGCTCCATTATAGAATAGAATAGAATGGAATGGAAGGGAAGGGAAGGGAAGGGAAGGGAAGGGAAGGGAACAGGTCTGAGTAGAGGTGCGTTTCAGCAGGTTCTGACCAGTTCTGGAGAACCGGTAGCGGAAATTTTGAGTAGTTCGTAGAACCAGTAAATACCACGTCTGGCTGGCCCCTCCCCCATCTGTTCTCTGCCTCCCGAGTCCCAGCTGATTGGGAGGAAATGGGGATTTTGCAGTAACCTTTCCCTGGAGTGGGGAGGGAATGTGTCAGCGTTTCAGTGCTGACGTAGAAGGGGAGATAAGCCCTGGACTTTTGCCTGCTAAATCCCTTTGAAGCTCGGTCTCCGTGGAAATGAAGAGGGGGGGAACATTCCTGTGAAATGACGAGATAAGAAGTCAGGAGAGTGACTTGGAAGATAGCCAATGAGAAGCAGAGAATTGGGGATCGGAAAGGGAGGGATTGGGGGGCAAAAGGTCAGTCTTGTCCGCACGAGTCATGATCCGGTTGCTGTGCTCGAATAAAGAGAAGATTTCCTTAAAGATTGGCAGTTTGGAAATTCATTTATTTTTGAGATAGCATCGAAGTCTGACAGAATGGAGATTTTACAGTATCCTTCCCCTGCCACGCCCGCCAAGCCACACCCACAGAACCGGTAGTAAAAAAATTTGAAACCCACCACTGGCTCTGTAGTCCTACTTTGAGGACTACCTGTGAAAGGTAACGTAGTGGGCCATACGCCCTGCTAGGCTAAATCGTTCCGAACCAATTTGTGTTTGAAAAAAAGCAACTTAACAACCGTTTTTCACACTCACAACAGCTGCAGCACCCCTGAGGTCACGTGATCAAAATTCAGAGACTTGGCCACTGGCATATATTGTTGACGGTTGCAGTGTCCTGAGGTCAGTTGTTATGTGAGTTTCGCCCCGTTTTACGACCTTTCTCGCCACAGTTGCTAAGCGAACCACCACCGTTGTTAAGTCAGGAAGACGGTTGTTAAGTGAATCTGGCTTCCCCATTGACTTTGCTCATCACGGGATCACGTGAGCCCCCGGGACGCTGCGACCGTCATAAATACGAGCCAGTTGCCAAGTGTCCGAATTTTGATCACGTGACTGTGGGGACCATGGGGTGAAAACAATCCTGTGGTGTTTTTTTTTTTATGGCCATTGAGACTTCAAATGGTTACTAAATGAAGAGTCGCAAGTCGAAAACTACCTGTATTCTATATTTTATTTGTTTTTCCAACCCACATTTTTCTAGCTTGGCGGTCCTTGTGACACCCTTTCCTTCTCTTTCCAGCTGTGAGCCTCCCTTGCAAAGCCATACTGTTGCAACCCAACCCAACACGCCAAGAGTGGAAGTTCCAGAAAGATGGCCTCACTCTGCTCTTCTATCATGCCAATAAGTTCACAGGTGGGTAGTCCGACAGAGTGTGTGATGACCTGGGGCACAGCCCAGAGATTACACAGGCAGCTGGCAGTTCAAACTGCCCCTTTATTGTTACAAATTTCCCCAAACGCTCCCATGTTTCTGGGAAGTCCCAGAGCAAAGTGATAACAAACCCCCATACAAACCTCAAGCAGCCTCTGGCTGCATATTAATCCAGCCCAACTCTGTGGGCACCATGAAAGCTGTGCACAGGATCATATGGTGATATTGCGCAAGCAGCGTGCACTAGTGCACATGCACAAAAGCTGCACGCATACACAGATGGTGCAGTTGTGCACGCAGCGCATGGGGAGGAGCTGCGCATTACTGCGGGTGGCACGTGAGGTTCACCACCACTGCTCTGTATGTTTAAATGTTTGTGATTGGTACTAGAAGCGCACATCGAAACACTGAATAATGAAAGAATGAAGGATGAAACTTTAACATAAATAGATGTGAAGAGCTAAATAAGGGAAATATGAATATGAAGCAGGTGAAAGAGATAGAAATAAGAGGGGAATAATAGTGTATATATATATGTATATGTATATGTGTGTATATATATATATATATATATATATATATATATATATTAATATAACAAGATATATGTAATAATAAGAGGGAGGTCTAGAAATTGAAAGGTGGCAGTCTTAGGTATGTTGAAACAATATGAAACAATGAAAATGAAATGTAAAAACTATGAGTAACAATCGGGGTTGAAATGCTACCGGTTCGAGCCAGTTTGCCTGAACCGGTAGTAAAAAAAATGCTTTTAAAAGTTTTTTAAAAAGTTCCAACGATCGCCTGTCGCTCAGCTGATCTTCAAAACTTTTTTTTTTTTTTTTTTTTTACTTTTTAAGCATTTTTTTACTTCTGGTTCCCCGGAACCGATAGTTAAAAATGCTTTAAAAAGTTAAAAAAAAAAGTTCCGACGATTGCCTGTCACTCAGCTGATCTTCAGAACTTTTTTTTTTTTTTTTTACTTTTTAAGCATTTTTTTTTACTACCGGTTCTCCGGAATCGATAAAAAGTAAAAAATTTTAGTTAAAAATGCTTTAAAAAGTAAAAAAAAAAGTTCCGACGATCGTGCGTCGCTCAGCTGATCTTCGAACTTTTTTTTTACTTTTTAAGCATTTTTTTACTACCGGGTCTCTGGAACCGGTATTTAAAAATGCTTTAAAAAGTAAAAAAAAAAAAGCAGGAAATCCAAAATCATGTGTTTGGTGTGAAGTGCTCATGAGTAAACCAGTGTCGACTGGCGGAGGATTTCACCACTGGTAATAATATTATGTCTATTTGTATTAAAATGTATGTTACCCAGGTATCACACTGTTCACGCATTGATATGTATAAATAATATAAAATAAAAAACCTGGGGGAGGGGAAAAAAAGAGAATCATTTTATAAGTTCAGACATCACTGAATTTCTCTCTCTGGTGCGTCTTTCTTCAGATAACTACAAGGATCGGGCCACGTTCACCCCATATGAGATCCATCTCAAGTCGGTGACCCGCAAAGACTCGGGCACGTACATTTGCGAAGTCCTCGGACAATCTTTCGCGCAGTCGGAAGTGAAGCTGATTGTGCAAGGTACCGCTTCCACTCCCGGGGCATTCTCGAGTTGGGCCAACGGATCGTTTCAGCTGTGCAAAATATCCTGTGGGGATCTTTATGATGCAAAGTCTTTAGCCTGAAAACTGAAGAGTTGGCATCAAGTCTAGTAAGAGCCGTGGTGGCGCAGTGGTGAGAGTGCAGTACTGCAGGCTACTTCTGCTGACTGCCGGCTACCGGCGATTTAGCAGTTTGAATCTCACCAGGCTCAGGGTTGACTCAGCTTTCCGTCCTTCCGAGGTGGGTAAAATGAGGACCCAGATTGTTGGGGGTGAGAGGCTGACTCTCTACACCTCTCAGAGAGAGCTGCAAAGCACTGTGAAGAGGGATATAAGTCTAAGAGCTATTGCTATCTTCCTTCCTTCTTTCCTTCCTTCTTTCTTCCTAAAGGTTGACTTGGCCTTCCATCCTTCCGAGGTGGGTAAAATGAGGACCCAGATTGTTGGGGGCGAGAGGCTGACTCTGTAAATCGCTTAGAGAGGGCTGGAGGGCTATTGCTATTTTCCTTCCTTCCTTCCTTCCTTCCTTCCTTCCTTCCTTCCTTCCTTCCTTCCTAAAGGTTGACTCAGCCTTCCATCCTTTTGAGGTGGGTAAAATGAGGACTCAAATTGTTGGGGGCGAGAGGCTGACTCTGTAAATCGCTTAGAGAGGGCTGGAGGGCTATTGCTATTTTTCTTCCTTCCTTCCTTCCTTCCTTCCTTCCTTCCTTCCTTCCTTCCTTCCTTCCTTCCTTCCTTCCTTCCTTCCTTCCTTCCTTCCTTCTAAAGGTTGACTCGGCCTTCCATCCTTCCGAGGTGTGTAAAATGAGGACCCAGATTGTTGTGGGCAAGAGGCTGATTCTATAAACCGCTTAGAGAGGGCTGTAAAAGCATTATAAAGCGGTATATAAGTCTTAAGTGCTATGGCTGTTCCTAGTAGTCTAGTGAAAAGAAGGACTAGAGGGGACATGATAGCAGTGTTCCAATATTTGAAGGGCTGCCACAAAGAAGGGAGTGAGCCTTTTTCCAAAGCACCAGAAGGCAGAACAAGAAACAATGCATGGAAGCTAATCAGAGAGAGAAGCAACACTGGAATTAAAGAGAAATTTCCTCACAGTGAGGACAATTAATCAGTGGAACAGCTTGCCACCAGAAGTTGTAGGTGCTTCATCACAGGAGGCATTTAAGAAGAGATTGGACCAACATTTCTCCAGAACGGTACAAGGTTTCCTGCCTGGAATAGAGGCTTGGAGTAGAAGATTGCCAAAGTCCCTTCCAATTCTGACCTGTCCCAATTTTATGACCTTCTTTGTGGCAGTCATTCAGCAAACGTGGCAGTTGTACAGTGAAGGCCGTGGTCATTAACTGAACCCATTGTTTTGCTATATGGCGGCTTTTTTTTTTTATTTATATGCCACCCTTCTCCGGAGACTCAGGGTGGCTTACAATGCGTTAAGCAATAGCCTTCATACTTTTATATATTTATACAAAGTCAGCTTATTGCCCCCACAAACTGGGTCCTCATTTCACCTACCTTAGAAAGGATGGAAGGCTGAGTCAACCTTGAGCCTGGCAAGATTCGAACTTACTAATTGCAGACAGCTGGAGTTAAATTACAATGCATTAGTCTGCTGAGCTGTCCAGGCTTTTGCCACAAACTGGAAGTAAACCCCAGTTCCACACTGCAAACGGATGATTTGAGGTCCCATGACTGCCAGTGGGGAGTGTGGGCTGGACATTAGGACTTCAAAACCTGGTTTGGGGAGTGGGAAACCTGTCGTAAGTCGAGGACTGCCTGTATAACTTTCCCGCGGCAGCCATTTTGTGCGCGTGGCACCTCCTGCCATCCAAATTGGCCTCCTAACCTGTGAGCCCTCCCTCTCTATTCTTGGGCAGTGCCGGCCGCCAAGCCCACCGCCCACGTCCCTTCGGTGGTGACCATTGGAAACAAGGTGGTCTTGAGATGTGAGGAGACAGACGCCAACCCCCGGCCGACTTTCAAATGGTTCAAGGACAACATCCAGATGCCCCCGGATCCCAAAACCAGCACCATCTTCAAGAATTCGTCCTACACCATCGATTCGGACACAGGCGTGCTGGTATGCTCCTATGTTACCGACTTTAAGCTGTGTTTATTACAGTGGGGGAGGCGAGGGGGCTGCAAGCAGGATGCCCCACTTCCACCGGGCACTTGGCATGGGTGGGGTGGGGTAGCTTACATTCACGGGTAAGGAGACAATTTTTTATTTTTTATTATTTAGCGTATGGCAAATACATGGACTTACAATCGTTCAAATGTTAATGTCCAGTCCACTCAACCATTCAAGGACAGAGTGCTCTATGTTGAAAAAATATCAGGCATCGGGCCGGTGTAAGCTCTTGATCAAAGGGACGCGGTGGCCCAGTGGCTAAGATGCTGAGCTTGTCGATCGAAAGGTCGGCAGTTCGGCGGTTCGAATCCCTAATGCCGTGTAACTCCCGTGACTTGTCCCAGCTTCTGCCAACCTAGCAGTTCGAAAGCAGGTAAAAAATGCAAGTAGGAAAATAGGGACCCCCTTTGGTGGGAAGGGAACAGCGTTCCTTGCGCCTTTGGCGTTGAGTCATGCCGGCCACATGACCACGGAGACGTCTTCGGACAGCGCTGGCTCCTCGGCTTTGAAACGGAGATGAGCAGTGCCCCCTAGAGTCGGGAACGACTAGCACATATGTGCCAGCGGAATCTTTACCTTTAAGCTCTTGATGGACAGAATGTGATGGATATTTTGTCGAGGAGCACCACAGCCACACTGAGGGGTGGAGACAAGACCCCCCCCCCTTAAACAATGAGTCCTGGCAGACACCATGTTGGACAATAAACCAGGGTTACTCAGCTTTAATATGCGCAGACTTGCAACTTTAAGGTGGCTGGACTTCAACTCCCAGAATTCCCCCAAAGCTGCCCTGAGGAAGTCCACCCATCTGGAAGCATGCTGGCTGGGGAATTCTGGGAGTTGAAGTCCAGCCACCTTAAAGTTGCAACACTGAAATAATCTGTTGAAAGCCAAGTAGATAACACCATCAGTGCTACAAGGGGGAGGGGTTTACAGAGTGGAGGAGGAGGACTGGGGGGTCCTTGGTTTTCTCTGCGCTTGGCTGTTTTCTTGTAGACGTTTTATTACCCAACTAGGTAATATCATCAGCGCTAGAAGGGAGTGGGGTGTGCAGAGAGGAGGAAGAGGAGAAAGAGGGGTGAGGAGAAGGACTGTAGGGTGCTTGGTGTGCTTTTCCAAAAGGCAACTGGACTTCCCTAATTTTTTCCTTGAAAACGTTTCACCTCTCATCTTAAGAAGCTTCTTCAGTTCTGAGGAAGTAGCAAGATTGAGAACAACTTGTAATAGACAACTTGTTCGTATCTAGGGGTTATATCCTAAAGTCAAAAAACAAACAAACTACCCAACATAGAGTGACAGAGTGTCCAAACAGATCCTCTAATGGAGAGCCCGTCAATTTCCTGGCTGCAACAGAATTTATATTTGCAACTTACATATCAAAGTGTCCTTTAAGATTCCACATTTTTACATTCTGTGTTTTGCATTTTACTCCTGTGGTACTGAAATAGGATGTGACTGTGCAATACGCTAAATGAATATCCTACAGGGACAGTTTTTTCCCCTCGTACCATCACTCTGCTGAACACCTAATCCTCAAAGAATTGTCCTATGTCTGAGTATATTTACTCATGTCGTATGACTGTAGAATTATTATGCTTCTTCTCATCTTCTCTATCACTCCCTCTTATTGGTATCATTATTACTATGATGATGATGATGATTACTCTGTTGCTCTGCATGTATGCTAGGAGCTTCTGCACCAGAGAAAAATTCCTTGTGTGTCCAATCACACTTCATGAAATAAAATTTTCTATTTCTATTCTATATTCTATCCTATTCTACTTTCTATTTTTTATTTCTACTTTATATTCTATTTTTATTCTATTCTACAGTAATTCTATTTTCTATTCTGTTCTATTCTAATCTATTCTATATTCTATTTCTATTCTATTCCATTGCATTTCTATTTTATTCTATTTTCTGTTTCTGTTCTATTCTATAATTCTATTCTATATTCTATCCTATCCTACTTATTTTTTATTTTTTATTTCTATTCAATGTTCTGTTTCTATTTTATTCTATTCTATTCTGATCTATTCTGTATTCTATTCTATTCCATTTCTATTCTTATTCTATATTCTATTCTGTTGTTGTGACCTCGGCTCAGTCATTACAAATTAGTCCCAAACAAACCTATTTTATTATAACAGCTGAGAATTACTTCATTCCCAGCTTAGTCCAAATTAATTGCAAAACGAAGTCCTTCAGAATAAGTCCTTCGGGCTTATCACAGACCTTTAGCTTCTTTGGCACCCTGCCAAAGGCCTTTCATGGCAAAGCTCCATGAACTTCAGAAACAAGAGACACTGACTGGAAACAGATTTAGCAACGTTGCTTTCCTACAAAGAGCCCAAGAGCCTTTGCTGCTCTTTTAAGCCTTCTGGGAGGGACCAATCATCTCCTGGACTTACTCCCGAGTCGTCCTCTCTGCTTTAGCTGCTCTTGCCTTCTGGCAGCTCTTCTCATACGTCCACTAGGAACAGGCTCCCCCTGTTCCTCTGCCTCTCTACTGTCAGCCTCTGGAGGCTCTGGAGTCCGCACATCACTCCCAGATGGCCCTGGCCCCATCTCTGCCTCCGACGCAGAGCCCTCATCCGGGCCTTCCTCAGACTCCAGGACTGGCCCATTGTCCTCTCCAGCCTCCTCACTGTCTGACTCCGCTGCCAGCTCCGCAGGCTGCTGGCGGACCACAACAGTTGTATTCTAATCTCTTCTGTATCTATTTCTATTCTATTCTATTTCTATTCTGAATTCTATTTTCTTCTCTTCTAATTCTATTCTGTTCTTGTTCTTGTTCCTGTTCCGATGGTCCTAACCCGAGGACTGGTTGTGTTTGAGCAGTGCCATTGTGGTTTTTCACCCACGCACCCATCACCTGGTTCCAATGTCTGCAGAACTGGGCATCCCAGAGAGGGACACTGGCTCAACCTGTGGAGGAGGAGACAGGTGTGTCCTTGGTCGAGAATTGAGCTCCTTTCCTCTTTCTTTCAGGCCTTTGAGCCCGCCACGGCCCTGGACGCTGGCGACTATTCCTGCGAAGCCGAGAACAAGGTGGGGCCCCCCCAGAGGTCGGAGGTGATTCACATGGAAACCAGTAAGTAAGCCACTTGGCATCTCTCCTGCGGGCACCAGCTCTTTGGGGCGATATTCTGACCCAGCCTTAGCCAGAAACAAAAAACAGACTCCTTGTCACGAAAACCCGCTCCATGCCATAGGGCCAGGGTATCTACGGGACCGCCTTCTGCCACCAACAGCCTCCCACCGATCAGTTCGCTCCCACAGAGAGGGACTCCTCAGGGTACCGTCGGCCAAGTAATGTCGGCTGGCGACACCCAGGAGGAGAGCCTTCTCTGTCGGAGCTCCTGCCCTTTGGAAGGAATTGCCCCCGGACATTCGTAACATCTCTGACCTCCGGGTCTTCCGCTGTGGCCTCGAGACCCTACTGTTCCGACAGGCGGGGCTGTCTAACCGAATGATTTTAAATTGGGTTTTAATTTTGGGTTTTAAAATTCGGCCAAAACTATTTAATGATTTTAATTAATTTTAACCATGATATCTGTATATTTATGTTTTAATTCTGGCTGTACACCGCCCTGAGTCCTTCAGGAGGAGGGCGGTATATAAATAAAATTATTTTTATTTTTATTTTTATTTTTATTTTTATTTTTATTTTTATTTTTATTTTTATTATTATTATTATTATTATTATTATTATTATTATTATTATTATTATTATTAAAATAAATTTATTAATTAATTCACAAGAGGTAATTAATGGCATTCACCCACCGAAAAGTCCAGGCAAGAGTCCTTCAAGGAGTTAACTGCAGTAACAGACCTTATCAGTTCCTTGCGATAATTGCCAGGGCGTGAGCTCCCAGCCGAAAGGCTGCAAATTAAGTTCTGGCAAAAGCAGCCTTTGATGCACGAAACACAATGAGCAAAATCTCCAGAAATACGAACGGTTGTCTCCTACGACCACCCCTCCCCTTTCCTTCTATTTATTCCCCAGCCAGGGAGGGGCCATTCAACGTGTGCCTTTCTTCCCGAGTCGACTCCTTGTCCTCCGTTGTTCTCCTCTCCTAACTGCTCTGCGCATACGTGCATCTGGAACAGGCCCCAGCTGTTCTTCCTCCCCACTCATCTCAGCCTCCGAAGGCAGCTGCCTCTCCGGTGGCTGGGAAAGGTCGGACGGCTCTGGCTCTATCTCTGCGTCCGACACAGAGCATCCATCGGAGCCTTCCCCAGACTCCAGCATTGGCCCAAGTTCCTCCCCATCCTCCTCATCGTCCGAGTCAGGCCACAACAGGTGGCACCTTCTGCCGTCTTTTGGACCCTGGCTGTCCGATTGTGTTTTGCAATCAATGCCAAGGGGATTGGTAGGAAATTCCTAATTTTACAGAGTACAGGAAGTCCCTTAGTGACCGTTATGACCATTTTTCACACTTATGACCATTGGAGCATCCCCATGGACTTGTGATGGACATATTCTTTTTTCTTTTTAATGTCATCTTTGTTGTGTGGTTTTTTTTAAAATTCTTATTTCCTTTTTAAAATATTTTGGCATTTTGTATTTTAACCTCCTTTGAATAAATTAAAATTTCAATACAAATCAGACACTGAAAAAAGTGACTTATGACCGTTTTTCACACTTACGACCGTTGCAGCATCGCCATGGTCATTCGATTTACATTTGGGTGCTTGACAACTGACTCATATTTATGACGGTTGCGTGATCCCCTTTTGCAACCTTCCTGCAAAGCAAAGTCAGTGGGGAAGCCGGATTCGCTTAACAACCGGGTTACTCACTTAACAAGTGCAGTGATTCACTTAACAACTGTGGCAAGAAAAGTCGTAAAATGGGGCAAATCTCACTCAACAACTGACTCGCTCAGCAACAGAAATTGTGGGCTCAGTTGTGGTCATAAGTCAAGAACTGCCTATTTCTTTACTTGAAAACTACTTCTGCTTGAAATGGGATTCTATCTGGAATGCTTAGAGATAAGCACACAAAAGGGAAGTAAGGCATCAAAACTATGCTCCTGGGTGTTAATTTTATTCACTTTTATTGGCCATAGTTGGGCAAAGACTGAGTGAATACTGATCAATAGCATGTTGTCTTTTTCTGCTTTATAGAAACATAGTGTCAACTCTCCAACTAATGAACCCAAAATAAGGGAACACACTCACCATTTTTTAAATCCCAAAAGTAAAACTTTATTGGATACATCGTTTTGGTACTGAAGAATCAAAACCAGCTCTGGTTTTTCCTGCGCAAATACTTGCTTAGTTAACAACAGCTTCCCTTTCTCCCCACCCCTGAGTGATCACATTGTTCTGCCCCAGCTACGGACCCCAAAGAACGCAGCACACACAAACTCTATACAAAACTTATTTTACTTAAATAACTCAGCATTTATCAACCAAAGGCTGTTAATAAACTATCTTAACAGCTTACAAGAATTCTGAGATAAGGTAATCACAGTCTTACTAGAGTTGGCAGAAAGCCCAGAAGTAATTTTGCAGAGAATCCAGACGTGAAGGAGATTGAACTAAAGTTGTTCCCTACAAATTGCTGCAATCGGTGTTCCTCCTTAAATAGGCTAGGGGAGTGGCCAATTAGCCCCAAGCCTTACTCTCGAGGAGACCTCCTCCTGAGGAGCCACTCCTGCCTTTTGGCAGCTCTGTGAGCTCGTGCATCGAGAAGAGGCTTCTCCTCTTCTTCCTCTTCACTTATGGGAGCTTCTGGAGGTTCTGAAGGCCCTGGCTGAATCCCCGCCTCTGGCACCACATCTTCTCCAGCCTCCTCACTGCCCGACTCGAGCGTCAGCTGCACAGGCTGCTGGCGCAGCACCACACCAGCCTCCTCGTTGTCGGAATCAGCTACAATCCGCACAGGCCGCTGACGGGCCACAACACACATTGTCCAATTATGAGACGTCTTTTTGTTATGGGAACAGTCCGTCTCTTTCTCAAGCACCTACAGCGGTGACCTTGGTGGTTGCACAGGCTCTCACGGTCCACACACACATTCTCAGCATTTGATTTCCCCCTTCCCTCCCCCCAGTTCATTGGCAAGTTGAAAAGTGTTTAGGGTTGAAAGAAGCAAAGCTTGATACATAAATTACGCATTTGATCTTTCTGACAATTTTTATTGCTCTGCAGGTAAACTCAACGTGGGTGGGATCGTGGCGGCCGTGGTGGTTCTCCTGATCATCCTGGGACTGATCATTTTCGGCGTTTGGTTCGCTTACAATCGGGGCTATTTTAGCAGTAAGTGGCCAGTTGCACCCTTCTTGTTTTCACAGACCAGGAAAATCCTAATTTTGTGGGGGGTAGGTTGTAATCCTGTTTCTTTAATAACCCCAGCCCTCTGAGCTGTGGGGGCATTGGAGGAGAATGAAGACTCCAAAGCAGATTTTCTAAGATTTGGGAACTGGGATGGAGTTTAATAGCCAACAAGATTGTCTTAGTTAGTTCGACTTACGACCACAATTGGAACCAGAATTTCCATTGCTAAGCAAGACGGCTGTTAAGTGGACCTTTTGCCACGATTGTTAAGTGAATCACTGCGGTCATCAAGTGCATCACTGCAGTCATTAAGTGAACCATTGCAGTTGTTAAGTGAATCATTGTGGTTAAATGAACCACTGCTGCTATTAAGTGAACCACTGTGGTCATTAAGTGAATCACTGGTTGTTAAGTGAACCACTGTGGTCATTAAGTGAATCACTGTGGTTGTTAAGTGAACCACTGCAGTTGTTAAGTGAATCACTGCAGTTGTTAAGTGAATCATTGTGGTTGTTAAGTGAACCACTGCAGCCATTAAGTGAACCACTGTGGTCGTTAAGTGAATCACTGCTGTTAAGCGAATCACTGTGGTTGTTAAGTGAATCACTGCAGTTGTTAAGTGCATTGCTCATTAAGTGAGTCCCTCATTCACTTTGCTCATCAGAAGCCGGCAGCAAAAGTCGCTTAACCTGTGGCCAGAACCGTCTTAAAACAGGGCAAAATTCATCTAGCAACCGTCTCACTTAGCAGTGGAAATTTGGGGCTCCATTTATGGCCATAAGTCGAGGACTCCCTGAACTCCACTCAAACTATTCTGGGTGGGGAATTCTGGGAGCTGAAGTCCACTCTTTCTAGAAGTGCCAAATTTGCCCCCAAAACTGGGAGTCCCTGGGGGGCTGATCCAGTTGGAGAAAAAGCCAAGAGAACTTAAATTTTGGTGGCTGAACAAATAGACTTTGACCCTTTCTAACCATGCAAGAGAGACACGATCACCTCCTTTCTTGACTAACTGATTATTTGTCTTTTTTTTTCTTTTTCAGAAAGAACAACGTGAGTAGCCATTTCTTCCTTCCTGCCTACAGTTCTTTGCTGCGTAACCACCAGTCCTGCTGTGAGGTTCCCTTTTCAGGGTGGATGAGGAAAGGGCACAGTTGATCCTGGCCTGGCCACTTTCTCTCTGATTTTATTCCACTGATAAAAAGTGGGAGACCCTGGTTCATTAAAAAAAAAAAGCAAAGTACAGGTAGTCCTTGAGTTACGACCATTTGCTTACTGACCGTTTGAAGCTGGTTCTCATACTTCCTTGCTATAACGTGGCCACGACGTTTGGGTGCTTATATTTATGACGGGTGCACCATCCTGGAAGTGCTGTGAATACCATTTGTGAAGTCGATGGAGAAGTTGGCAAGGAAGGTCACGTGTTGTGTCTCGCTTAATGACTGCATTGCTTAGTGACCAATTTTCCAGGCCTTATTGTGGTTGTAACTGGAGGACTACCTGTACAGTAAGTGAAAAGCCATGAAACAAAAACAATCAAAATTAATATTCAAACAATAAATCGGTGTTCCCCAGCTTTCAGCCCCTGGGAATTATGGGATATAAATTCCCAGAATCCTCCAATGGACCATTTCCAGAACTCTCTAATTGGAGAAGACATGTGGGAGTTGACATCCACCCAACTTAAAGTGTGCTGACCAAGGAATTCTGGGAGTTGTAGTCCATCCCCCCTAAAGCATTCTGAACAGGGAATTCTGGGAGTTGAAGTCCACCTGTATTAAAGCATTCTGAACAGGGAATTCTGGGAGTTGCAGTCCATCCCCCCTAAAGCATTCTGAACAGGGAATTCTGGGAGTTGTAGTCCATCCCCCCTAAAGCATTCTGAACAGGGAATTCTGGGAGTTGTAGTCCACCTGTATTAAAGCATTCTGAACAGGGAATTCTGGGAGTTGAAGTCCATCCTTAAAGCATTCTGAACAGGGAATTCTGGGAGTTGCAGTCCATCCCTCTTAAAGCATTCTGAACAGGGAATTCTGGGAGTTGCAGTCCATCCCTCCTAAAGCATTCTGAACAGGGAATTCTGGGAGTTGCAGTCCATCCTTAAAACATTCTGAACAGGGAATTCTGGGAGTTGAAGTCCACCCATCTGGAAATTTGCCAGGGTTGAGAAACATTTTCCTAATTCTCTCGTCTCCCCCTTCTCCAATCTTTTCCAGAAGTTCCAGTAAGAAGGTCATTTACAGCCAGCCTTCCAACCGAAGCGACGTAAGTAGAAGGAGAAACTCCCCTGCTTCACCCCCCCCCCAGGAATTTGGGTCCCCAAAGGCCAATTTTGGACTTTTCCGTTTTCATGGGAGGGGATTTAATGGGATTTAATGCCTTTTGCAGAGCTGATAATATCAACTTGCGTTCTCAGTTTTTAGAGAAATGAGAATCCATGTCTTTAGAACTGCGATAATTTATATTTTTAAAGTTTCTGAAGATATCTGAATCGGGACCAGAAATGCTTTCCTCTCAAGGCAGAATTTTAGAGATATGCTATTCTGCACAATGGAAATACAGCTGGTCCTCGCCTTGCGACCACAAGGGGGATTGGAATTTCAGCCACCAAGTGATGCAAGATGGGCAGCGTATCTATTTAATAAATAAATAAATAAACGTGGTCACGAAGCCAGTTACTCCGTGGCCAGATCGGATGATACAACCATGTGCACTGCACTCTTGGAGCAAATCAAATGGTTGTTAAGTGAATCATGTGGTCATTAAAAGTGAATCCAACTTCTCCAATTAACTTGCTCCTCAGAAGCCTGGTGGGAGGATCACAAATTGTGACCTCGTGGCCACAGGACGCTGCCCGCTGGTTGCCAAGGACCCAAATCATGATTGTATAACCTTCAGAGTAGTACGACGGTCGTAACTTCGAGAACAGGTCATAAATCGGGTTTTTTTTCAGACCGTCATAATTTCAGACTGCCCTTAAATGGATAGTCGTAAGTGGAGGACTGCCTGTAATGCTTTTAGGGCTTGAACTAAAGCATAGACAAGTGATCCTCGACTTACGACCACAATCGAGCCCAAATTTTCTGTTGTTATTTTCTGTTGTTATTTTCTGTTGTTTCATTGGTTAAGTGAGTTTTGCTCCATTTTACGGCCATTCTTGCCACAGTTGTTAAGTGAATCACTGCAGTTGTAAAGTCAGTCACCCGGTTCTTAAGTGAATCTGGCTTCCCCATTGATTTGGCTTGTCAGAAGGTGGCAAGAACGTCATAAATATGAGCCGGATCACAGCAATGGTCATAAGTATGAACCAGTTGCCAAGCATCTGAATTCTGATCACATGACCACGGGGGATGCTGCAAAGGTCGTAAGTGTGAAAAAACGGTCATAAGTTACTCTTTTTCAGTGCCCTTGTAAGTTTGAACAGTCACTAAATGGAATGTTGTAAGTCGAGGACTCCCTGTAAAAGGCATGCTTTGAACATTTGGGGACAACCAAACTATTTTTAGAATTAAATATAGAGAGTCCTCGACTTACGACAGTTCCTTTAGTGACGGCTTGAAGTTACAACGGCACTGAAAAAAGGACCATTTTTCACACTTACGACCGTTGCAGCATGCCCAGGATGACGTGATTTACATTCGGATGCTTGACAACCTGGCTCACATTTATGACGGTCTGCAGCGTCCTGGAGTCACGTAAATTAATCCCCTTTGGCGACCTCCTGACCTCCAGATTCACTTAACAACCGTGTTACTAATTGAACGACTGCAACGATTCACTTTAACAACCATAGGTTTTGGGCTCAACTGTGGTCGTAAATCGAGGATTACTTGTGTTATTTAGGCTGTGCAGTTGTGATTGTGGTAATCTGGTCACCTTTGACGGATGCTCTTTGGAGCACATACAAACCAATTTACACCTCAGATATATTCGTTTTCCAAACTTTTTGCGTTCTGAATTCACACAACCGTTTTTTCTATTTATTATTTATTTATTTGTATTTATTTATTGGGATTTGTCAAACAGAAACGAGAACAAGAATAAAAGAGAATAAAAATACAGCGACAGGGACGATAGGCCCCGTGAGTGCACTTAGGCACGCCCCCTCTACTCACCACTTAAGTATGAAGTAAGGTCCACGGAAATCAATTTGTGACTGAAACTGTGAAAATTTGTAGCTGAATCAGGCAGGGCAGTGTTGTCAAACCTTTTCGGCACCGGGTGCCAAAACGGGAGTGCGCGCACTTGCGCGTGCCGGAAACCGGAAGAGCTGCCACCCGGTGTGCATGCACGCATCAGGAAGATGATCTTCCGGTTTCCAGCGCACGCATCACAAGTGGGTTCTACTTACCTTTACTACCGGTTCTGCGCATGCGCAGAAGCTTCCTGATGGTATCGGGGTCGGTGGGCGGAGCCTCCCGCCGGTTTTACTACCGGTTCTATAGAACCGGTCCGAACCGGGGGCAACTCACCACTGGCGCGCATGGGCACCAGCCAACTGGTCTTCGCAAGCACATGCGTGCCAGAAACTGGAAGACCAAGTGGCCGGAGCGCATGCGCGTGCTGGAAATCGGGAGAGCAGCTACCCAGCATGTTCATGCGCACCAGAGCAGCTGCACTTCCGGTTTCCAGCGCTCCCGTGCGCATCTGGCCGGCACGCCAGAACCCGGAAAAACAATGGACGACGGTTCGGTTGCCTGGATACAGGGGTCTGCAACCTTAAACCCCCAAAGAGCCATTGGACCCGTTTCCCACAGAAAAGAAAACACCGGGAGCCACAAAACCCTTCCCGTGCCTGACTATTTCTGGAGCGGCCACAAAACTAGCATATGTAGTTGAATTAAATGTTCCGTTTTCTTCTGAAACTTTTCTTTTCTTGGATTTATCCATGGTTGGCCTACCGAGGGTTGAAAAACTCAATAAATCGCTTGCCGATGGGTGTCGCATATTGGCGGTTGTGAGGCATATTTTGAGTGACAGGGAGCCGCAGCAGAGGGGTGAAAGAGCCACATGCGGCTCCAGAGCCGCAGGTTGCTGACCCCTGCCCGTAGAAATGGCTCTTGCGTGCCACTTCTGGCATGCATGCCACCTGTTCGCCATCACGGAGGTAGGGCATTCCAGACTTTGACAACTCTATTACAGAAATCATATTTTTTTTTACAGTCAAGTTTTAGAACGATTTACATTGAGTTTAAAGCAGTTTGCGCACGTATTATTGCGATCAAAAGAGGAAAAGTCATTTACAGGTAAAACATATTATACTAAGTATAATTTTGCATGCAATGCCTAAGTCTGACCACAAGCAACACAGTTCTAAGTTATCCAAACCGAGAATTTCGAGCCTTAGTTGCATAGGGAATTCTACTGTTATTATATCAAAATAAATTTCCCTCCTCTTGATTCTTTTTTTTTTCAGGGTGACTTTAAACAAACTTCTTCCTTCCTGGTCTGATCGTGGCTTACGGACTTCGTGTTTTAAACTCTCTGCCCGGCTCAGGACTGCTGTAAATGTTCTCGGTGGATCTTTGTAATTAAGTGTGATTTTTATTCAGTGGTTTTTTTTTTTTTTGTTAAGATATATATATATAAATATATGTATATGTATAAAATAATAGTTTGCCTTTTAAACGTATTTTTTTAAACAGTTGCTATTTAAAAAGGCTGTGCTTCCATGCCTTCCTTTCAGGGTATTTTCATCGTTTAGGATCGTGAGACTTTTGAGTTCTGGTACAAAATGATTGAATTCCGTAGTGTGCCTAATTTTTTTAAGGCTGATCTGTCACTCAAATTCAGTTTGAGGTAGTTATGAGTTTTAAGGACAGAGGTTAAGTGGACTCAGTTGCATTTCTGTCCTCCCAAAATCAGTCATAACCAAACCTTGGTAACTTTTAAGATGTGTGGACTTCCAACTCTCAGAATTCTGGGAGTTGAAATCCACTCATCTTAAAGTTGCCATGGTTGAGAAACACTGATCATCATCATCATCATCATCATCATCATCATCATCATCATCATCTTTTAACGACCCCATAATCCCTTGTGGGGTGGAGTCTGGGCAGCCGAATGGAGCTAGCAGAGTGTTCGAATGGCCGGATGCCTTTCCTGTCGCCAATGAGGAGTTTTGTTCAGCAGATATATTCTCATTGTGCCCAGAGAGAAAAATTTCTGCCTCTACCTAGGATCGAACTCACAGCCCCTGCCAAATTTGAACAAGAAACCAAGTCCTGCATTTTTGCATTTAATTGTGTAGCAGATAGAATAGCCACAATGCATCTTCTGTCCATCAAGGAAGTTGTGCTGAAGGACGATTGTTAAACCGCTCTTCCTTAGGGAGAGAGTTAGACATGCTAAAATTACTCCAGCTGTCTTAACAATATTTGCCTTTATTAATATTACGATATTGTTATACGGTTTTTTAAAAAAAAAAAAATGCTGGACACTGAACTGGAAATAAACTTTTGATTCAACAAATGTGTCGTGTTAAAATTTATCTTAACCTTCCTTAGCTTTGTGTGAAATACAGCTAGTCTTTGACTTAACACCAGTTTGCTTAGTGACTGCTCGAAGTTACGACACTGAAAAAGTGACTTAGGACCATTTTTCACACTCACGACCACGATTCACCTTTGGATGCTTTAGAATTGACTCACATTTATGACGGTTGCAGTGTCCCTGGGTTATGTGATTCCCCTTTTGCGACCTTCGGGCAAGCAAAGTCAATAAGGCCGTAAAATGGGGTGACTGAGAATCTCCATAGAGATTCTGGAAAGAGTGACAGATAACAGATTAACAGAGTTGGAAGGGGCCTTGTAAGCAGGAGACCCTACACCATTTCTGACTGATAACAGATGAACAGAGATGGAAGGGCAGAGCAACGAAAGTGATTAGGGGGCTGGGAGATAAAACATACGGAGAACAGTTGCAGAAACTGGATATGTCTAGTCTAACAAAGGGAAGGACTAGGGGAGACATGGTAGAGTCTTCCAATATTTCAGGGGCTGCCACAGAGAAGAGGAGGGTCACTTTCAAAGCCCCAGAGGGAAGGAGAAGAAGCAAACGGATGGAAACTAATCAAGGAGAGAAGTAACCTGGAACTAAGGAGAAACTCTCCTGACAGAACAATTAAACAAACAAACAAAGATAATCAAACAACGAATCACCGAACAAACCAAATAATAACCAAAAGCCAACATGGGTTTGTCAAAAACAGATCATGCCAGACTAATCTTATTGCATACTTTGACAAAGTGACAAAATTAGCGGACCAGAGGAAAGGTGTCGATATCATTTACTTGGACTTTAGTAAAGCATTTGATAAAGTAGACCATAACCTACTACTAGATAAAGTAGAAAAATGTGGGTTAGACAGCATCACCACCAGATGGATTCGTAACTGGCTGACCAACCACACTCAATGTGGAGTCCTCAATGGAACTGCACCTACATGGAGGGGAGTAGGCAGTGGAGTACCCCAGGGCTCTGTCTTAGGCCCTGTGCTCTTCAACATCTTCATCAATGACTTGGCCGAGGGGAGAGATGGGGAGGGGAGAGATGGGGAACTCATCAGATTTGCAGATGACACCAAGCTGGCAGGAATAGCCAACACTCCAGCAGATAGGCTCAAGATACGGAAGGATCTTGACAGACTTGAACATTGGGCGCTATCTAACAAAATGAAATTCAAGAGTGAAAAGAGCAAGGTTCTACTTTTAGGGAAGAAAAACCAAATGCACAGGTACCGTAGATGTGGTCCCTTGCTCAATAGTGGTAACTGTGAGAGGGATCTTGGGAGTCCTAGTGGACAACCATTTAGATAGGAGCCAGCCGTGTGCAGCAGCTGCCAAAAAAGCCAACACAGTTCTGGGCTGCGTAAACAGAGGGAGAGAATCAAGAGCCCGTGAAGTCTTAATACCACTGGAGGCGAAAACATATGAAGAACGGTTGCAGGAACTGGGTAATTTAATCTAATTTAATTTAATTTAATTTAATCAATTGAATTTATATGCCGCCCCTCTCCGAAGACTCAGGGCGGCTATGTCTAGTTTGATGAAGAGAAGGACCAGGGGAGACAGGATAGCAGTCTTCCAATATCTCAGGGGCTGCCCCAAAGAAGAAGGGGGCGGGAGAAGAAGCAACGGGTGGAGAGAAGCAACCTAGAACTAAGGAGAGATTTCCTGACCATTAGAACATTTACCCAGTGGGACAACTTGCCTCCAGAAGTTGAAGCTGAAGTTGAAACTCCAACCACACTGGAAGCTTCTCAGAAGAGATTGGTCTGAGATGATTGTAGGGTCACCTGCCTGAGCTAGGGGTTGGACTAGAAGACCTCCAAGGTCCCTTCCAACTCTCTTATTCTGAAATAATTGGAGAATTCTACTCAGTTCAAAGTTCAACTGATTAAGACAATAGCTGGAAACAGCAGATAGTTATGTTCAGTGAAGGCATTCAAAATACACAAAGACATTATTAATAGGGTATATTTCTCACAGACGCTGGGACCCTGAACATAACACGCTCTCATAGTGTTGTTTGACTTATTAGAGTTTATTTCATGTCTAAAGTCTCTTCCAGTAATGAAACTATTTGTGTCCAATCCAGAAAACGTTCAGCAAGTGAATGGCAGCTCAAATCTCTGGAGAAAGCGCAGACACCTTGATGTGCCGTGTAACCCCGTGAGAAAGAAGGAATGGTTAGGTGCAAAACTGACGGTAGGGAGATCTGATGCCATGAAGGTTGTTCAAAGCGGAAGAGGCCAAGAAACTCGAAATTTAAAGAGCTGCCGGTGTTTAAAGCAACTGGAGCAAACTCAGCTCTGAAACCAGAAGCTGCATTGAATCACCAAAATCGCCCCCCCCCCTTCAAAACAAACTTTCTTTCTTTCTTCATCTAAGTGAAAGGATTGTCCATCTCACAAAGGAAGAGATTCTGGATGGTCTGCAAGGAAACTGAAACGCAGGCAACCCTTGACTTGCCATCACAATCTAGGCCAAAATTGAGGTTGCTAAGCGAGACGGTCCTTAAGTGAGTTTTGCCCCATTTTACAACCTTTCTTGCCACCGTTGTTAAGTGAATCCCTAGAGTGGAAACTAGACAGCCACTTATCCGAAATGCTATAGGTTCTCCTGCTTGAACAGGGGGCTGGACTAGAAGCCCTCCAAGATCCCTTCCAGCTCATTCTATTCTATTCTATTCTATTCTATTCTATTCTATTCTATTCTATTCTATTCTATTCTATTCTACTCTACTCTACTCTACTCTACTCTACTCTAGTCTACTCTACTCTACTCTACTCTACTCTACTCTACTCCAGTTCCAACACTCACTCTTCACAACAGGATGGATGATAGGCTGAAAAAGCTTCCCTTCCTGAAGAAGGACAGCAAGGAGTCAGAGTCACAAATCAGCAACAATGACCTGTGTCAGTGGGACAACCAGGAAGTCCTCTTCTCTGGCTCCCACCCATCCGGTTCTTTAGCCAGAACCATGGAGGCCTTGCCTCTGATTGTGACGTCTTCCCCAGTTCAATTGGAGGTCAGGAAGAAGGTTCAGCCTCCAGCGCTGGTGCTCCCTGATTTGGTGCGCAGGACATCTGCCAGGACCCCTCTGAAGGCTTCTCAGGGGGAGATGAAGCCTGGCCTGAAAGAGCCCCCTCCCTTTCCAAGGAGGCCCAAGAGGGAAAGGCCTCGGGGGAGAAAACGCTCTCAAGACACCGTCCTTCCCTCATATCCAGGTATAGATGCTACAGGGCTGGGCTACCTATGGAACCAGCCTTGTCCCATCACATCAGCCCACCCCACACAATCAATCAATCTATCTATCAGAACACAGCCAGAAGGGACCTTGAAGGTCTTCTAGTCCAACCTCCTGCTCAAGAAGGAGATGCTACACAATCCCAGACAAATGCCTATCCAGTCTCTTCTTAAAAGCCTCCAGTGATGAAGCACTCACAACTTCTGGTGGCAAGAAGTTCCACTGGTTGATTGTCCTCACTGTTAGGAAGTTTCTCCTTAATTCCAGGCTGCTTCTCTCCATGAGTAGCTTCCATCCGTTGCTTCTCTTCCTGCCTTCTGCTGCTTTGGAAAATAAGTTGACCCCCTCCGCCATATATGGAATTGGAAAAAATTCCAATTCCATATATGGAGTTCAAAGTTCCTCCTCAAGACGGTTGTCTAAGAATATGAAGATCAGGGACTCGAGAGTTATGACACGTTTGACCCTTCCCTCAGGATCAGTCTGGTCTAAGCACATTTTTTTCTCTCTTCGCTTTGAGAAGACTTGTCCCATCAAATTGCCCATCAATCTCTGTCTGTCTCTTCTTCTCAGAACTCTCTGACGAGTCCTTTAAAATTTTATGGGAGAGCAAGAAGCCGCTAAAAGGCAGACCCGTCAAGGAAGTCCTCATGAACCTCATGATTTAGCAATGCAGTGCAAGCCATCAAAAATTTAATATTATGTGCCGGCTATCAGGAGGAGTTCAGTCAGTTGGAGAAGGTTAGATGCTGGGACATGACGGTGACTCCTGATGGTTTGTTCGAAGCCATTTTCTTCCTGGTCCTGTAAGAAATTAAAAGACAAAAGAGGTTGGCTACAAGTGGCAGCGGGTGGGAGAGGGAGGGGAGGGGAGAGGGAGAGGAAGAAGAAAAGGCAGAGAGAGAGAGAAAGCTAGAGAGAGTGGGGAGAGGGAGGGGAGGGGAGAGGGAGGGGAGAGGAAGAGGAGAGAGGGAGGGAGGGAGAAAGAGAAAGAGGGAAAGAGAGAGGGAGGGGGAGAGGGAGGGAGAGAAAGAGAGAGAAAGAGAGGGAGGGTGAGAAATTCTCTAAATGGAGTAATTCATTGAGTAATTGAATTCACATCATGATTTCTCTAGCTTGGTGATTTTCTTCTCCCTAACCAGCAGATCTCGTCTGAGCTCTCCATATTTGCTCTTTTGGGAATTTAGTCAGCTTCTCTAAACTGGGGCTGAAGGTGATGTTCAGAGAGGCCAACACCTACCTGCCCCGTCCCGATCTAAGAGAGAAGACCATCGGGAAGGTTTTCTTCTCGGAGGTGAGCAGACCTTGGGATGCACCCCAATATTCTGGACAGCCATTGGTCTGAGGTTGTAGAGCAGGGGTCCTCCAACGTTTTAAAGAGGGGGCCGATTCATTTTTTTTGCCTTTCTCCTTCCTAAGCCCCCGTTTAAATTGTTTTTAAAGACTTTTAATTTGAAGGAGTTCTTTACAAGCCCAGAGCTGCTTTTCCAGGCTGCACCGGCGAGATCACCCCTCAGCTGGCCCTCAGCTGGCCTTGCAGCTGGCTCGCTGGGAGATAAGGCAGTTAGGGGCGGGGCAAGGGGCGGGGCTTAATCACACCACTCCGCGGGCCGTATTCTTTGCCCGTGGGCCGTAGTTTGAGGGTGCCTGTTGTAGAGGGTCTGCTGCTTGAGCAGGGGGTCTCCAAGGTCTTCTGCTAGTCTGTTAATCGGTGGAAGGGC